GTCAGTTGATTCTGTCGTGTAAATATGCGGCGTACGCTTTCTCGTCGAGCCGTTTGAGAAATTGTAGATCGGACGATGATCATTAAATCCCACTCTATTCCACTCTATTCTACTCCCGCAAGTGCGTGCGTGCGTGCGTGCGTGTGTGTGTGTGTATATGCATGTGTGTGTGCATTTTGTGTGCGCACGTCTGTGTGAGCATCATATAACCCACATAAATGTGCTTCATAGAAACGAGTCAATTCTATACTTTGCGGTCACAAGCGTATTTACCAGGGAAGGCTACATTAACCAAGTACACAATTCCCTACATTGTATAGTTTAATCGACTGCGTGTCGCTGTAAACTTGTCATATACGGCTTCCTGTACTGGCTTTGTATCTATAGGCCTACTGACGCAATATTTATATTGACGCGTTTCTACATATTACATTTTTTGCAATAATGATTTCGCTTTTTTACATACAAATAACCGCGTCATGTGATTAAAGGCTTGCATTTTAACGAAAGAAGAAATAAGTTGGAACGAAAACGTAGACTTCGTGTTACGTAGCTGTAAGTTCGAACATGCGAGAGCCTTTTAAGACTGAGGAGTTCTCAATTAGACCCCCCCCCTACCCACACACACACACACACACACACACACACACACACACACACACACACACNGTAACGTGAACTTACTTAGTAGCATTTTAAACTTTAGTTAGGCGTGTACTTAGCGTAACGTAAACTTACTTAGTTACAATGTAATTATGCGCAATTACCATGTAATTGTAGTGCTGTTTTTTTTCGTTGGGATATAGAAGAGTAAACCCGAAAATATATATTCCGCTTGCATTAAAATTGCAATTTATCGTACTTCAGCAAGGTTTTTGCAAGAGGAGTGCTTTGCCCAATTAGTTTACGTTCGCTAAAAATTTAACGAGTAGCGTTTTTCCTGTTGGAAAATGCCGAGATATTCTTAATTACCTCGAGTGTGTTTAACCGAGTTTCATCGTTCCAAGAGCTAATAATACCTAGTATTAATAGTAAGGTAGGTAGTCTTAATTAGTAATAGGTACTAGTAGTAGGTAATCTTAATTAAAAGTAGGTATTAATAGTAATAATACCGAGTATTATTAGCTCTTGATCGTTCTACAGTCCACTGTAATTACACTATTATTATGTAATTACACTGTAATTACACTATTATTATGTAATTACACTGTAATTACACTATTATTATGTAATTACACTGTAATTACACTATTATTATGTAATTACACTGTAATAACACTATTGTGTCGTACGTACAACTAAAAACCGCATGTTGTAGTTACAATACGAAGCTTTCCGGCTTCAGTAAGCCTTGAAATATATAGAAGCTGGTTGTGCGTACGTTGCCATTGCCTCACCCCGTGGTGGCAGACAGATCGCGTCGAACATAGTCATGTATAGTATCATTAATTCTACTACTAATAGTTAGGCGTTTTCACTACGCCCGTAGATATATACAAAATATAGGTAAATGTGTTTGTATGTATCTATGCTACGCATTAAACGTTTGTCCTGGCTGGATGAGAACGTTCGACTTATTAAGGTTGTTGGCTGTACGCCAGCAATAGTGAATTGTACAGAAGTCGTTGCCGCCATAGCCGTTGTCACCAAATATCAGCCAGGGGCCCGTTGTCGGAAACGTCGTAAATTATGGCGGCTATTTAAAGTCGAAAGTGTGATGGGTTTTCTACTCAAATTCAATTAAAATGTCGCGACATTTTAGAGACGTAATAGCCATTTTAACAGCGTAGATGACTCACTTTTTGTTATCGTTAGTCATGACGTGGTTTCCACCGCAGGGCGTGCATGTATATATAGATGGCCTCACTCTCTTCACGTTTCATATTACTCTCTTTGTGTTTTACATTACGTTCGCTTCGTTTTCCATTAGCCTGGTACATGGACTGCATGATGCACAATCCCCCCAGCGCAAGCATTAGGGTATACCATTAGATCTCGTTGTAACATGTTTCTCATTGTAAACCCGACGATGACCTTTGAAGTATGTAGTTTATACGTGTGGATGTATCTTAAACGGCAGTGTACTGAATAATAAATAACGGAAAGCTAGCAATATTTATAAATAATTGTCACAGCGATCAACCGATATTTATATATAATGTACTTAGAAATACCTATTATGTTATTGCTTACTATGGACTCGCACTTTTTATGAGCGATATGTAATGAAAACAGCTAAAATCATTATTTATATACAATGTTCACAATTTCATATATTTGGAAGATGTCCGTGTCACCAAAAGTTCACGCAAACCGCGCCTTTACTTTTTTGTACGTAAAATATTCGCCATTTTGTAATAGAAAAATTTAATCGAAACGCGTCTGGGTACATGATAACAAATGGCTTCAAGCGAATGGATCGCATTAAATATAAAATGCCAATATCGAATTTTCAACATTCACTAGGCTGGGCGAGGAATTAGTGCTAAAAACGCACATACGGTGTGTCTGAGAGTGCCATCATATAGAATCACAAGTATCTAGCTGCAATGTTGAACAAGCGCAAGACTTATAGATCTAGACTACACATGCATCACTACCGCAATGTAACCTAAGGAGATTTATTCAGTCATTTCTGTTTCTTATCTAACTGAAGATTGTCAGGAAACCGAGGAAATCGGCTGTATCGCGAGCCCATAACGCATTTTATTAGATTTGACGCGCTCTCTGTCCTACGAATACGTCTTTGATCTCCGGCGTATAACGCAACTACACGGCGTTATCGTCTGCGCCACTACATATATCTTTTCGTCTCGTCGGTTGTATAATCTCATTTCCGTGTATTATGGGGGGTATATCCAGGGCCGGATTCAGACATGGTGAGGCCCTAGGCTATGGGAAGCTGTAGAGGTCCTAATTTGCAATTATTAAGAGGGAATGAAGCTGTGTAACAACTAAATTTGGGACGAATGCCGCCAAGATGCATAACAAATCTGTGCTGGGTGCGGGAAGGTTTGTTTTTTGGAACTTATACCTACTAAAGAATATACCATTTACTATACTATATCCAATATGAGATTTCACGAGGGGTGGGTGGGGGAAGGGTTGCTCCTTTTTTAACTTTAAAAAATATGCCGTTTATTATTTAATATGAGATTGAGCTTATGCCTAAATAATCCGGCATTAATAAATAAATATATAAATTAATTAATTAATTAATTAATTAATAATGCCTAAATAATCCTGGGTATTTCACAGGTGAACAGTGAGAGACAGCACGACAAGAGTTCGGCGTGGGAGAAAGTTGAGGGCGTCAGCGGCAGCAGCAGCAACAACATGGCGGATGCCACAGGCAGACCGAGCAACCACACGGCGAGCCAGCTGAGTAACGATAGCTCGAGCATGGAAGACCACGCGCTGATGTTCTCCAACATCCGCGATGAGCCGACGCCCGCCGACACGCTCTCGGAGAAGCAGAACGGCGAGACGACGCCGGCGTGGATTCGCAGCGCCCCCTTCCGGAAGGTGCGGCACCCGTCGGACACGAGCTTGTTGACGACGATCGTTGTCAACTTTCTCTACCTGATCGCTGCCGTCGCCGTCTGCTGTCCCGTCGCCGTCTGCATCGCCGTCGCCGTGCCGATCGGCCTGCTCGCGCGCCACCTGGTGGCGAGTTTCTGCTGCTGGTCGCCGACGCGCGCGTGCGCGTGCCACTGCGGGTCGCTGCTGTCGCCGGCCGACGCCTTCTGGCTGCACGACTCGAACGTGAATCGGTCGGTAATGCAGACACTGTTGGTTCTCGAGAAGGGACTCGACTTGGCGCGCGTGCGGGAGCTGCTGCTCTCGCGGCTCGTGATGGCAGAGGGCGCCAACGGACGGCGACTCTACCCGCGTTTCACTCGCACGGTGCGCGCGCTGCGCTGCGGCTACGCATGGGTCGACGACGATGCGTTCAGCATCGACAACCACGTGTTCGCGATGCCGTCTTCCGTGCGCACGCGCGACGACCTCGAGAGGTACCTCGGGGAGCTCGCTGGTAGGGCGATGTCACCGCAGCAGCCGCTCTGGGAGGTGCACGTCGCCTTCGATTGTGGCGAGTGTCGCGACACGGCCATCGTGCTGCGCGTGCATCAGACGCTCTCGGACGGCGCCGCGCTCTGCCGCAGCCTCTGCCGCTCCGTGATGGACCAACGCGGTCCGGAGGTAGTGCGCATGCGCGCCGGCGGCGGCGCCGCGCTTTTCAACGCAATCCGCGCGCTGCTCGTCGGTCCTCTGTACGTCGTCACGCAGCTGGTGCTCGTCGCAGCCGACTGCAACTACTTTACGCGTCGGCCGCCGTCGGGACGCAAGCGCGTCGTCTGGTCCGATCCGATTCACATGGCGCAGCTGGAGCGCATCAAGAGCGTCTCTCGCTCGTCGATGCACGACATCTTGCTGTCGATTGTCAGCGGGTGTCTGCGCACGTACCAGCAGACGAAGGGCGTGCGACACCCGCGCAACGTGCGCGCGCTCGTCCCGTTCGACTTTCGCGCCGACGACGGCCCGACGCCGCTCTGCACCGAGTTCGCGCTCGTGCCGACGGTGCTGCCCTCCAACGTCGAGGGTCTCATACCGCGCCTGTGGAAGATCAAGCGCACGATGGACGAGCTGAAGAATGGCGCCGACAGTGCCGCCATCTATGGGCTCGTGCACGTGTTAACTTACGTGTTCCCCGCCGCGCTCGTGCATTGCGTCATGTCGCACCTCGTATGCAAGTCTTCCGTGATCGTGTCCAGCATGAGCGGACCGACGAACAACATGTCTATAGCGTCGAGAGAGGTGAAGGCGATCGTCTCGTGGTTTCCGACGAGGGACGAGCTTTCCATATCCATCTCGCTGCTTTCCTACGACGACCAACTGCGCATCGCCATCCTAACTGACGAGGCCATCATCAAAGACCCTGAAGTGATACTCAAGGAATTCCAGATATCGGTATAATGCAATATACGCACATGGTACAGTAATCATGAGATATCGTATGTGCGTACAAGGCAAACTTACTTTGTTGTTCTAATGTTTAGATATCGAAATCGTATAATGCAATATACACGCACACATAAATCGTACAGTATTCGTATGTTATGAGCTATCGAATGCATATGGTGCAAACCAACTCAAGGAATTCTAGATATTAGTGTCAGAGTATAGAATATCAGGATATGAGATTTCATTTATGCGTTCAATGCAAGTTTGTTGTTCTAATGTTCAAGGGATTTCGCGATATAGTTAGTGAAACTGATGACGAGAGGCTGTGATAACCTACACGAGGATGGTTATGGAATGGATGATTTTGATGTTGCTACTATTAATATTGACAATAACGGTGATGATAATGATGATGATGATGATGATGATGATGATGATGATGACGATGATGTTGACAATGACGATCACAATGTCAATAACGCTGATGATAATATGACGGTGACTACAATAATGATGACGTTATTGCATGTTTGAGTGTGATTCAAAACGAGAATAATAGATAATTATTGACAAATATATAATAATAAGAATAAGAATAATTAGCAAATTCGTTTATTGCTCGTCAATACCAAACCATAACCATGCAATTATTACTCAGGTGCAATCAATGTGCATATCGGGTTACGATCTATCTCTCCGCAGGTGAATCATCTGTCAGAACTATTGGCGAACAGGAGGATACCGGGCGAGGCGCGGCATCGTGATTATGACTTTGATGAAGCAGACGAGGGACCGGAGCCGTCGGTTGAAGAGGTAACAGCGCACAACCGGCTCTCCTTTCTTCTTCTCTTTCTCCTTCTTCTTCTCCTTCTCCTCTTTCTCCTCTTTCTCCTTCTCTTTCTTCTTCTCCTTCTCCTTTTCTTTCTCCGTCTTCTTCTCGTTCTCCTTCTTCTTCTCCTTCTCCTCTTTCTCCT